GGGTTCAGCATCTTTGAGGGGACGTTCTTTGGGGTTCAGCATCTTGCCCTACGACACTTCGGCATTGGTTGGGATTCGAGCCGCCGACCTTGAAGAACCCGTTGTGGGTTCAGGTGTTAATGTTCGGCGATTGACATGATGAATAAAAACTAACTGTGATCTCCATTGTGTCTCTGCAGCCTGGTCAGGTGTGGCCGGTGACAGCGTTTGATTCCCAGAGGAGTCAGCGACACGGCCCCCCAGCCCCTCCTCTCTCAGGTCAGATCTCTGAAGCGACAGAGGGGGGAGTGGAAGACGGCTTCAGGGAGGAGGACGACAAAGGCAGACCTCGACGATACTTCAGGTGTTGACCCGAGTGAGGTGAGGAGGATAAGCTCCGCCCCTCACCATGACAGACTTAGAGAGCGAGTGTTTGAGTCTTGGTCTGCCCCCTGACTGCAGCTCCCCTCCCCCACCCCTGGACCCCTCACTGCAAACAGATTGCGACCCCGGGGCCGGCGACTCTGCCCCAACGCCATCTCTGGCTCTCCTCTCCTCCGACTGCCCGACGCCCACACTCAACTCACTGGCGGCGGAAATCGCAGAGCCTCTAGTGATGCTGCCGTGTGTGAAGAGCGAGCCGGAGGACGGAGACCTGGAGCCCATCAGGACCGTGGACCTGTCGGAGATCCAGTCGCTGTCCACCGCAGAACTGGGCCAGGACCAGATCAAGATGGAGATCAGCGGCCTCGACTACATCAAGTCCGAGCATCACGGTCTCCACGGCAACCACCAACTGGGCCCGTTTCACCACAGCGACGTCACAGAGCTGGACTACAAGTCGCACTATGAGCCCAGCTCTGTGTTTGACTACATCTCCCAGGTAATGATAGACCCAACTCACATCTGGTCACAGTAGCTGTGTCTCAATGCAGCGGCTGCGTCCTGTGGACGGACCCTTGTGTACGCAGCCGACTGCTTCCTCCGACGGCAGCGTACATCGTGTCAGCTGAACCGAAATGATATGTGTTCTTCCTATTGCGTCACCATCGTGTCTCACCTTTACAACCGTAGCCTAGCAACAAAACTTATACCAAAACATTCTTAGGTGGATTCAAAATGTTGAAAAAATGTTTTTTTACCATGTGCACCGTTGGTTGGTCGGTTGGGTTCATTTAAAAATACATTCTGACATTTTCGCCCCCCTTTGGATGCCATTACCTCCAAAAGAGTTTGTCACTGAAGTGCAATGAATTATGGGATATGTTGAGCCTCTGCTGCTCTGGGGTGGAAGAGGAGCCTTGGAATTGTGAAGGTCCAGACGTGTGAAGGACGCAGCCCCTGACTTGATGTATCATTATATATATTTATAATAAGACATCAACCTTTGGACTAATCCAAGACGACAGAACCAGTCAACAAAGTCTGTATCTTCTTTATTGATGCAGAGAAAAATCTGAGATCGTAGACGAATAAAATGACGGACGCTCTATGAAATGTACTGTTGCCATGGTTATGCTGCTGGTTTCGTCCTGGTTTGAAAATTCCGGATTGTGTTTTAGTTTGGATGAACAGAAACAGAGACGTTTGTAAACAATTCCACAGATGCTCACGTTCTCTTCCTGATTGGTTCTTATCAGTCACATGACTCGACTATCAGCGGTGAATAAAAACACACTGACTGAAGCGTTTCGTTCTCTTGTTGCAGGTGACGGACACTCTGGAGTACATTAAGTCGGACCACCATGTGGACCTGCAGTGTTACTACACCACAGAGCTGAGCTCCCTGAAATCGGAGTACCCAGAATCCAACGCCATGTCCACCTACCTGCAGCACAACGGCCTGGAGTCCATCCACATGGCTGAGCTCCGCACCGAGCTCAACAAGCTCCGCCCTGACACCCTGCTCATGGACGGCATTGGCAAACTGGACCCTGAGTTTGGAGGTGGGGCGCTGTACGAGCTACAGCCGACAGAGGACGGGAAGGCGTCTGCAGAGGCGACGGGGACCGGGCAGACGGGAGGGAAACTGGTCATCACAACCAAATCCCAGAGTCCAACGGTGCGAAAACCTCGTAACATGCAGGGGGAGAAGCCTTTCTCCTGCACACAATGTGGGAAGAACTTCAGCACGCTAGGAAACCTGAAAACCCACCAACGCATCCACACCGGGGAGCGCCCGTACACTTGCTCGCAGTGCGGCAAGAGCTTCGGCCAGGCGGGAAACCTCAAGCGACACCAGCTAATCCACACGGGCCAGAAGCCGTACGTATGCGCTCACTGCCCCAAAGGCTTCACCAAGGCTGACGACCTGCGGTCACACCAGCGGCTGCACACTGGCGAACGCCCGTTCATCTGCGTCACCTGCGGGAAGAGCTTTGGCCAGTCGAAGGAGCTGAAGGCTCACCAGCTGAGCCACACGGGCGAGAGGCCGTACTGCTGCCAACACTGCGGCAAGAGCTTCACCAAGGAGACTAGCTACCGCAACCACGTGCAGATCCACACAGGCGAGAAGCCCTTCACCTGCTCACAGTGCGGAAAGACTTTCAGCAACTCCGGCGTGTTAAAAACCCACGAGAAGATCCACACGGGAGAGCGGCCGTTCGGCTGCACGCAGTGCGGCAAGAGCTTCGGTCGCCTCGGCCACCTGAAGGCACACCAGCAGATCCACACGGGCGAGCGGCCGTACGCCTGCCCTCAGTGTGGGAAGACTTTCAGCCAGTCGGGTCATCTCAAAGCACACGAGCAGATCCACAAACGAGAACAAGCGGACACGGCCAGCAGCAGCAGCAGCAGCAGCAGCAGCAGCAGCAGCAGCACCGTGGGCAGTGACAGTAGCTAAGAGAATGTCCGTACCCTTTAACCTCGCGGAAAACAAAGTATTATTCCTTTTTTTTATAAATACTATCTATACATTTTTTTCCTTATGAATTTTTCTTACATTTTAATACCTTTTGTGCTCTTTATATATGTGGCAGGGTGGACCGACTGATTTGCTCTTATGCAAGTGTCCGTGTGTGTCCGTGTGTGCGTGCGTGCGTGTGTGTGTGTGCGCGTGTTATGTACTGTGTCTGTGGGCGACTGAGTAACTGAGGGGTTTGTAGATAATCTGTAAACTGGTCAGAGTGATCTCTGTCTCTCTCTTTCTCAGTACTTATTTTTCAAGTACTTCACTGAAACAGAAGCACAAACACGTCTGAGGTTCAGAAACTTCCTTTTATGAAACTGAGCGAAACCTCGTTCACTGTGAATGATCCAGAGTTTCACAAAGTGTTACTTGTTCACACCTGCTGTTGTCTCATCTGACGTTTCGTCTACACGGTTACATATAGTTTAAAACTCATCACTGTTGCTATGGTTACATCTGGAGTTCTCCAGCCTCTGAATCAGAGACTCGTGTGAACTGATCTCGTTTTATTTTGAAAACTCTGGTTTTGTGTTTTAGTCTGAACACAAACTGAGACTTTAGTAAACGTTGATGCCTCTCTCTTCTGATTGGTTCTCATCAGTCACATGACTCGACTACCAGCGGTGAACACAAAGCGTCGCTAACACTTCCTGTCAGTGACAGCTCCACCTCGTCCCTGCTCTGACTCTTCACCATCACTGCTCCTCCTT